TGGTGCTCATATTGATACGATATTAATTAGTTTATTTTTTTATAGGTTTCTGAACAATGCTGTTATATTCCACAGTCATTTGTCAAGGAATTCGTAAAAAACTGCAAAACATGTGCAACAAGAAGAAGTTTCCAAATCCAGTTGCTGCAAGGCCGATCATCTCCAATGCATTTCTCAATCGAGTTCAAATTGATTTAATTTCTATGACCAGTATTCCCGATGGTGACTATCATTATATATGTCATATGCGGGATCACTTTACAAGGTATTCGTGGGCGCGGGCTCTAACTAGCAAACGGCCAATTGAAGTGGCTATCTTTCTTTTTGATGTATTTGTTTGCTTTGGTGCCTCAATCATTCTTCAGTCTGATAATGGTTGAGAATTCACAGCAGAAATAATTCGTGAGTTATTGACTATATGGCCAGATATTCATATAATTAATGGGCATCCAAGACACCCACAAAGCCAGGGATTAGTAGAACGGGCCAATGATATCCTTCAACAAAAGGTATCAAAATGGATGGAAGATACACAAAAAAAAGATTGGTCTCGCGCTGTACCGTTGTGTTGTTGTAAGCTTTTTTTTTTAATTCCCAATTCAATTTATTTTTAATAGATGCGATGAATGTACAACTATCTTGACAAACTAAAAGTAGTCCATATGCATTGGTATTTGGACAAAACCCCTTGCAGTATTTTTATTTACTAAAGAAAATCAAGGAACACAACATTAATTCTGAAGACGAACTACCTGAAAACTGGTTTGAACAACCTGGACCCCACGATAATATAAATCAACAAGAAATTTTAGAGTCATTGTTGGGAGCTGCAGCTTTAAATGCAGAGGTACGTACGTACACATGTATAAAATTTTTAATTATGCATAAAGTGTGTAACCATTACTAATTTTAAATATATGTACGTACCTTATTATTATATGTACATACATACGTATATATATATATTTCTAGAAGCAAGAATTATTAGATAATATTAATAAAGAGTTGGAAAGCAAGAAAATAGATAATGGAAGTGAGAATGAAATGGTGGATGAAATAGATGAGATAGTAAATGAAATGGTGGATGAAATAACAGATAAAAGAGTAAATGAACGGGTAGATAAAATAGTGAATGAAAGAGTAAATGAATGGGTATATGAAATGGTGGATAAAAGCATGGATATTTACAAAAGTGCAAATGAAAAGGTAAATGAAAGTGCAAATAAAAGGGCATATGAAAGTGCAAATAGAAGGGCATACGAAAGTGCAAATGGAAGGGCAAACGAAAGGGCAAATAAAAGAACAAATGAAAGGGCAAACAAAAGGGCAAACGAAAATGTAAACGAAAGAGCAAACGAAAGAGCAAACGAAAGGGCAAATGAAAGGGCAAACGAAAGGGCAAACGAAAGAGCAAATGAAAGGGCGAATACAATCAAAAAGGTGAATGAAAAAGCAAATAAAATGGTGAATGAAAAAGCAAATGAAAGGATAAATGTAAAGGAAAACGAAAAAGTAAATGAAAGAATGAACGAAAGGATAAATAACAAAGTAAACAAAATAGTGAATAAAAGAATGAATGAAAGAGCAGATAGAATAGCAAACAAAGGGGTGAATGAAAAGGCAAATGAAAGGATGAACGAAACGGCAAATAAAAGGGTAAGCAAAAGAATGAACGAAAGGGTAAACAACAAGGTAGATGAAAGGGTGGACAAAAGGGT